AGTCTATGGCTCTTGTCTGACTTAGAAGGACTTGTGTCCCCACCCCTTCGTGGGGACCTGCCTGAAGACTGGCATCTGTTGTCCGTGCAGTTTGTTAGTAAGGAGGAAGCAGTTGAGTAATGGTGCTTGGTGGTGGCAGAGGTGTTTGGGGACAAAGGGCCACCCCCTCAGGGGCATGGGAGGAGGACAGGAAACTCCTAAAGTCTTTTCTGGCTTTGAAATGTATTGTGCTGGGAAGTAGTTGCTAAGCTGGTGTGGTCAGCTTTTTCTCTGAGCCTGTGGGGATCCCAAGGGGCCCTACCCGGAAGGGCCCCTGTGAGGACCAGGGGAGTGTCAGGCACCAAGCACAGTGCCCCGCCGAACGTAAAGACTCCATGGGTTTCTCTGCCAGGCTCATGCTAAGCACTTTCCAGCCTGCATGATCATCCTCACACGGGTAGATTCCTAGATAGGCAGCAAATCAGCAGCCTCTGGAGTTTGGTGACGTGCTGTTAGATCCACAACACTCATGCTGAGGACCCAGACCCAGTTCTGCTGGGCTCTGGCCTGCAGCGTGGTGCGTCCCCAGGAGGCATGGCCCCCTCAGTGTGGGGAGTAGAGGGAGCAGGTGAATTCAGATTCCTCAGTAATCCTTGTTGTTGTTAGTTGCCATTGAGTCAGTTCCGATTCATGGCAACCCCATGTGTGCAGGTTAGAACTGCTCCATAGGTTTTTGGAAGTGGATTACCAGGCCTTTCTTCCTAGGCATCTCTGGGTGGATGTGAACAGCCAGCCTTTTGGCTAGTAGTCAAGAGCTTAAACATTTGCGCCACCCAGGGACTCAGGGTAATCCTCGGCTCCTTCCATTTGATAGTAATCCTCTTGGTCCTGGTAGCTGGGGAAAAGGCAGAGTTCTGAATGGTTTGAAAAGCCCTGGGTGGAGGAAGGAAATTATCTGATTTAGTACATCTCCTGGTCGGTGGTTAAAGCACTTAGCTGTTCAAACCCACTAGCCGTTCCTCCGGAGAAAGATGTGACAGACTACTTCTGTAAAAATTTATAACCTTGCAAACCTTAAGAGGCAGTTCTACTCTGTCCTGTCGGGTCGCTATGAGTGGGAATCAACTCGACGGCAGTGGGTTTGGGTTTGGGTTTTTTGCAGTCAGAATAGATTGTGGGGTGCCAGCAATGCCTCGAAGTGTCTCAGTGCCATCTCCAGTACAGCGCTCATTTCTCGAAGGCTGTGCCCTTCACAGTGCTACCTTCTGCCCTGGGGAAGAAAAGAGAACTCATGTCTATTGAGTGCATGTGAGCAAGGTTGGCGCAATTCAGCGCAAGATTCAGGGAAACCTTGGCAATTTTGCAGAAAAGATTTTTTTTCCTTCTTTTTCAAATTGCACAAAGAATACATAATTGAAGAAAAATTAGGGTAAACAGGTAATCAGAGATCATCAGAGAAAAATTCAAATGGCCTAAAATTCCACTATGTAGAGAGAACCATTCATTTATTCAACGAATATTTATTGGATATCTACTATGGCGCAGTGGTTGAGAGCTACGGCTGCTAACCAAAAAGGTCGGCAGTTCAAATCCACCAGGCACTCCTTGGAAATCCTACAGGGCAGTTCTACTCTGTCCTGTAGGGTTGCTATGAGGCAGAATTGACTCAACAGCAGTGGGTTTTTTTTGTTTGTTTGTTTGTTTTTGCTATGGACCAGGAGTTCCTGGGTGGTGCACATGGGTAATTTACTCAGTTGCTAACCGAAAGGTTGGAGGTTCAAGTCCACCCAGAAACACCTTGGAAGAAAGGCCTGGCGATCTACTTCTGAAAAATCAGCCATTGGAAACCCTATGGAGCACAGTTCTACTCTGACACACATGGGGTCGCCATAAGTTGGAAACAACTTGACAACAACTGGTTTGGTGCTTATGGACCAGGCACTGTGCTGGAAATTGGGGACACAGCAGTGAATGGGTCAGACATAGTCCCTGTCCTCCTGGGGTTTAGAGTCAGGTGCCAGCCACAGGTATTAAACAAGTAATGCAGTGTGAGAGGTGCCTTGATGGCAGAGTCACCTAGGGACCTCTGAACTGAGCCTGGGAAGACACAAGCTAAGATGGGTGAGAGGAGGGATGGATATTCCATGTGGCTGGATCCTTGCTTGGGGGGCAGTAGGGGCATGTCATAGATTGAATTGTGTCCCCAAAAATTTGTGTCAACTTGCTTAGGCCATGATTCCTAGAATTGTGTGGTTGTCCTCTATTTAGTGATTGAAATTTTACGTTAAAGAGGATTAGGGTGGGATTGTATCACCTTTGCTCAGGTCACATCCTTGAGCCAATGTAAAGGTAGTTTCCCTGGGGTGTGGCGTGCACCACCTTTTATCTTACAAGCGATAAAAGGAAAAGGGAAGCAAGCAGAGAGTGGGGACTTCATACCACCAAGAAAGCAGTGCCAGGAACAGAGTGCGTCCTTTGGACCCGGGGTCCCTGTGCGGAGAAGCTCATAGTCCAGGGGAAGATTGATGACAAGGACCTTCCTCCAGAGCCGACAGAGAGAGAGAAAGCCTTTCCCTGGAGCCGACGCTCTGAATTTGGACTTCTAGCCTACTAGACTGTGAGAAAATAAATTTCTTTGTTAAAGCCATCTACTTCTGGTGTCTCTGTTACAGCAGCCCTAGATGACTAAGACAGGGCAGCATGAGGCTGCACAGCAGGCAAGGCCCAGCAGGCAGGCCTCACCCCCAGGATTTCCAGCCATGCAAGAGGCTCTTCCCCCTTGGGCGGCTTTGATCTTGTGCTCTCCTGCCTAGTTCTGCATTTGTGCAAGAAAAGAGAAGGTGTGTCCTTTGGAGGCGATGCCAGGCCCAGCTGCACCCCTGACAGGCAGGGATGTGGAAGGAGCTAGAGTGTGGAGTTACTGTCAGCCAGTGGGTGGCCATTGTCTTCAGCTTCATTGTGTTGTCCATTTTCACTCGCTCAACTCTCACCTCTGACAGGCCATAGCTTTACTTCACGCCATCTCTACCCCGTCTTAGTTTCTTAGTGCTGCTGTAACAGAAATACCACAAGTGGTGACTTTAACAAACAGAAATGTATTCTCTCACAGTTTAGAAAGCTAAAAGTCTGATTCAGGGCCCAGCTCTAGGGGAAGGCTGTCTCTGTCGGCTCTGGTGGGAGGTTCTTGTCTCTTTTCAGCTTCTGTTCCTCAGTTCCTTGGGGATCTTCATGTGGTTCCTTTCTTCTGGGCCTTATCTGCTGTTTTTTATCTCAAACGTGATTGGCTTAAGACATAGCCTACACTCAGAAGGCATCATTAACATAACAAAGAAAACCCTGTTCCCAAGTAGGGTTACATCCACAGGTATAGGGCTTAGGATTTACAACACATAATTTTGAGGGATACAGTTCAATCCGTAGCACTCACTTAGTGGACTGTTGCCAGGTGCTCTGAGAAGGTGGGGTGCCTGACATCACAGAGTCGGTATTTCTCTTTGTAGTGACATGTTTTGAGGCCCTACTCAAGACTGTGTTGTAGCCACTGTAGGGGCAGCCTGTTGAGGTTACTTCCTTATCTGTCGTCAGAGCTTGAGAGAACTGGGTCAGAAGGTGCCTGCAGTTGTGAGCAGGTGTGTGAAGCTTTGTGTTATTCCCTTAGTCATCCCAATCGTGTGCTTCGAGGTCAGCCGAGCCCTCCCACTGCCTCTTCTGACTCTTGTTCAGCAGCTGCTCTGCACCTCATGAGGCTGAGCTTGGAGGACAGGTGCTCAGACCAAGGCCAGGCCCTCAAGGGCTCACCGTCTTGTGTGGGGGTCAGACAGTACAGGGGGGCTGTGGTCAGGGAAGGCTGCCTCAAGGCTGTGACTTGAAGGAGAAGGACAAGTTGGAGGTGGGCTGAGTGAAGAGGGGTTGGGGAAGGGTGTTCCCAGACAAGAGGGGCCAGTGGAGATGAAGGCTCAGTGGCAAGGAGAGCGCAGTGTCTTCGAAGTACCATAAGTCATCAAGTCCATAGCCAGGTGTGGGCAGCTTCCTTAGTGTGAGAAGCATTAAGGTTAGTGAGGTGCCCAGCAGCCCGACCCCACGGGCCCTGGGCCTTGATCCTCAGTACACCCAAGCCTGACTCCCACCTGCCAGCGGCTGCATCTGTTTGGCCCGAGGCCTTCTCTGTCCACTGGAGCCCATTCTACTTTTCTGGGGTGGGCCAGAATTGCCAGGGAATCATTGCCCCCTAGGAGCAGTCCACACTGTGGCTGCCAGGGGGTGATATGTAAATACCTCTGTTCCTTTGGCCCTTGGGTGGGATAACCCAGGGCCCATGTTTTATATTGTTTCTCAGAATTCCCCAATAGGATGAAACTCCAGTTGGCCACAATGGTGACTGGCTCGATAATGTACTGTTATTGGCTTTCTTCCCTTTCCTGTGGTCTTCCCCCATCTTCTGGTGTTTCCTGGGCTCACCTCCCAAGCAAACTGTTTCTGAGGGAACCCAAGCTAGGACTCCATTTACACAGCTTGAACTCAGTACTGAGGACAAGGGGAGCCACTGAAGGGCTTTTGCACATCTGCAGGGACAGGATCAGATCTGCAAGGTCTTTCTGACTGTGGCCTGGAGGTTGGGTTGTTGAAGGCCACGCAGGGACCCACCTTATTCCCCAGAAATTAACAGCGGTTGTTGAGTGCCTTCTGTGTTGCATATGCTGGACTGAGCATTTAGTGTGCATTTTCTCACTGAATCTAACAAAAGGGTTATGGTGTAGAGGTTCCATTATTATCCCATTTGCAGATAAGGAACTTAGGTACAGAAAGCTTGAGACACCTGCCCGTAATCACACAGCTGGAAGCAATGGCATGGGGATTTGAGCTCAGGTCTGACAGATCTGGAATGTGCATTCTTAATTCCTTCACAGTCCAGCCTTTCTACGTTCTGTCCTCTCTGCCAGCAGCCATCCAGGCATGGTGGGCATTTAGCTTCCAGGGTTCAGGCACATGCTGTCCTCTAGTAACCTGTGCTTCTCCCACAGGTAAGTTCGAGGATAGGGAAGACCATGTACCAAAGTTGGAGCAGATAAACAGCACGCGGATCCTGAGCAGCCAGAACTTCACCCTCACTAAGAAGGAGCTGCTGGGCACGGAGCTGCTGCTCCTGGAGGCCTTCGGCTGGAACCTCTGCCTGCCCACGCCCGCCCACTTCTTGGACTACTACCTCTTGGCCTCTGTCAGCCAGAAGGACCACCACTGCCACAGCTGGCCCACCACCTGCCCCCGTAAGACCAAAGAGTGCCTCAAGGAATATGCCCACTACTTCCTAGAGGTCACCCTGCAAGGTAAGGGCAGCAGAGAGGTGGGCCCCGTGTTGGGACCTTTCACCCCTTGCCCACCACACAGGGGCCGAGGTTAGGGGATGCTGTGAGGCATATTCATCCACCTAATCACCCCTGCTTTGCCGTAGACAAAGAACAAGGGATGAGCAAAGAAGTGGTGAGGCATCACCCTATGCGTTACCCAAAACCAAACCCACTGCTGTTGAGTCAAATCCAAGTGACCCTATAGGACAGAGTAGAACTGCTCCACAGGGTTTCCAGGGAGTGGCTGGTGGATTCAAACTGCTGACCTTTTGGTTAGTAGCCGAGCTCTTAACCACTGTGCCACCAGGGCTCCAATGTGTTACCAGTAACCTGTAAAAGAGGAATAGGAGCTTATATACAGGCAATCAGTACCCTACCAACATACCAATAACCTGTACCTTTTCTTATGGTAACCTGCAACATTGCAAATGATTTAAATAGCACAGATTCACAGGCAGATCGTTCCCGAAGAGCTGTCAACCTTACAGATAGGATGCAGGGAGGGAGTGATGTTTACATCTGCTTTAGCAAGAAAAGTTACCCTGTTCGGGGACTCTTACTTGAAACCCTCCTCCCAGTGTTTTAAAATCTAGTTATTAGGTAAATTCCCACCACTTGCCGTCGCGTTGATTCCGACTCATGGCATCCTGTATGCGTCAGAGTAGAACTATGCTCCATAGGGTTTTCAGTGGCTTTTTCAGAAGTAGATCTCCAGGCATTTCTTCTGAGGTGCCACTGAGTGGACTCAAACTGCCAGTCTTTCAGTTAGCAGTCAGGCACGTTAACCATTACACCATGCAGGGACTCATTAGGTAAATTACTGGGCCATAAATTTACAGCCACCCAGTGACCCCCTACCAACCAAAACAGTCATGAATAACAATAGCAACGATAGTGATAAACCAGTGAAAAACCTAACCAGTTGCCATCGAGTCGATTCCGACTCATAGCAACCCTCTAGGACGGAGTAGAACTGCCCCATAGGGTTTCCAAGGAGTGGCTGGTAGATTCGAACTGCCGACCTTTTGGTTAATAGCCAAGCTCCTAACCACTACACCACCAGGGCTCCATGATAGTGATAGACCAGAAAACCTGTTGCCATCACGTTGATTCCGACTCATAGCGACCCTGTTCAGCATCAGAGCCTGTCCAGCCAACCCCGAGCCACTGCCATCAAATGGATTCTGACTGATGGTGACCCCATGTGTTACAAAATAGAACTGCTCTTTAGGGTTTTCTTGGCTGTAATCTTTACGGAAGCAGTTCACTAGACCTTTCTCCGGCAGAGCTACTGGGTGGGTTTGAACCACCGACCTTTCAGTTAGTGCAAACCGTTTGTGCCGCCTGGGGACCTTATTGTAACCTTTAGTCATACCTAAAATCAGAAGCCTTTGAAATGGCCTGTCATTTGCCCATAACAACCAAAGAAAGGACAAATGGTTTGCAGTTCAGTTTATGGCCCATCAGCAAGTCCTTTTCAGCCTCCTTGGAAGCCTTGGACAATATTCTGAAAATCACTGTTCTTTTTTTATTGTGCTTTAAGTGAAAGTTTACAATTCAGGTTAGTCTCTGATGCAGATGTATATGCATACAATATTAGGTGACCCTAGTTGCTCTCCCTATACTGTGACAGCACAGTCCTCCTTTCCACCCTGGATTTCCTGTGTCCGTTCAGCTAGCTCCTGACCCTCTCTGCCTTCTCATCTTGCCTCTGGACAGGAGCTGCCCGTTTAGATTCATGTATCTCCTTGAGCTAAGAAGCACACTCTTCATGAGTATCATTTTATGTCCCATAGTCCAGTCTAATCTTTGTCTGAAGAGTTGGCCTCAGGAATGGTTTTAGTTTTGGGCTAACAGAGAGTCCGGGGGCCATGTCTTCCAGGCTCCCTCCAGTCTCAGCCAGACCAGTAAGTCTGGTCTTTTTACTAGAATTTGAGTTCTGTACCCCATTTTTCTCCTGCTCCATCAGGGACTCTCTGTTGTGTTCCCTGTCAGGGCAGTCATTGGGGGTAGCCAGGCACCATCTAGTTCTTCTCGTCTCAGCCTGATGAAGTCTCTGGTTTATGTGGCCCTTTCTGTCTCTTGGGCTAATACTTTCCTTGTGTCTTTGGTGTTATTCATTTCTCTTTTGCTCCAGGTGAGTTGGGACCAATTGATGTGTCTTAGATGGATGCTTGCTAGCTTTTAAGACCCCAGACACCACTCACCAAAGTGGGATGCAGAACATGAAAATCACTGCTCTTGGCCAACATCAGAAATCCCAGATTAAGGAAACCGCAAAAGTCTGTGTGTCAAATTCTAACGAGTTGTTCGACAGCAATAACAACAACTAAATTAAGAGCCTGTCTCTGTCTCTGTTTCTAAGGGTTTAAAATCTAATGATGAAGTCCTGTGGAGGTAACTTTTCTACTCAGACCCAGTTGACTAAACGTAGACTTGGTTTTTGGAACTTCAAAAGTAGAGAAAAGGCATTTCTCTTTTTAATAAAAAGAAGAATCCCAGATTAAGAGCTAAGGTGTTTAAGATTCAAAGTAGAACTTCACACTGTTACTAATTATTCATCCTGTATATAGGGTAGCGGTGAACAGCCTTGAGCCTAATTGTTTGTCACCAGTTCTCAGTGGGGCACAGGCAGCAGGGACGGGAGCATTGAAACCTGAGGGGACACGTCTTGGGCTGACTGCCCTCTGTGGCTCTCTTTCAGACCATGTTTTCTACAAGTTCCAGCCATCTGTGGTTGCTGCAGCCTGTGTTGGGGCCTCTAGGATCTGCCTGCAGCTCTCTCCCTACTGGACTCGAGACCTGCAGAGGATCTCACACTATTCCCTGGAGCATCTCAGTGTGTGCATCGAAATCCTGCTAGTGTGAGTGCCTCTCCTGACCCTGAGTGTTTGCAGAATATTGAGGTTCTCCTTGCTCTTGAGGCCCACCTCAGTACCCAGGTGGTTCCCTGAAGTCAGGGACTTACGGTGGTTTCCCCAGCGGAAGTGTCTTACATGAAGTGGACCGTGTTGACTCTGATAGAATTTGGGTTGGGAGGGTTGGATCCTACCTGCTTTGGGTAGCTTTAGGCTTGCATTGTTAAGGTGAAGGAGCCAGGGAGAAGGGGCTGTGTGCATGTCCTTCTAAATGTTGGGGCAATTGGATCTGAGCCCCAGTGTGATTTTATGGATAACAACACTGGGGGTCTCACATGGTGAGTTATTTTTCTTAGACATGGCCACAAAGCAGACCTCTTAGCCCAGAGTAGCTCAACGTAAGAGGCCATAGCCTTCTTGCAGGGATCCCTAGAATTTTGGGGAGGAAACATTGAGGGTATCAAAAAAGATGCTTAAATGCTTCATGGGCCCAACACTACAGAATTGATTTCAGAGGTGAAAAAGCTCAGGAGTGACCGCATGGAGGTGGGCAGGAGGACGGAGGAGCTCCTATGTGGCTACACTCAGTCCCCCTTCCACCCAGCAGGGGGCGGCATGTCCTGGATGCTGGCCTCACTGGCCAGTGGGCTGGGTGGTGGAAGCAAAGGGCCCACAGGCCCCTGAAGAGCCTCCTTTCAGCTTCCTTGTGTGGGAAGCTTTGCTGGTGGCTGCCTCTGTCACAATCCTCTGAGATGTCAGCCCTGCTCCCTAGGTCTTGTTTTAAAATACGTACTTTTCAAAAGGTACCCAGAGTCAGAGAACATACCTGGCCTGAGTCTTCTTCCCTGGGGGGCCTGCCCTTGTCATGTCCTCAGATCCCCACCTCCTCCTCACATCTGCTGCAGCCCCTCTTGGCGTCTTTCTTACGTAATCTCTATTGTTTTGTTTTCCCTGAAAGCTTTACGGGAAGCTTTTTTTGAGGATGGAAAAAAATCTCTTCCACCCCCAACCCTTGTTTTTCAGATGGAGAAACTTAGGCCCAAGGGGGAGACTTGCTTGGGATCTGACTGCTAAGGAGTGGCTGGGTGGGGATGGAGCCGAGTCTGGAAGTGCCTCAAAGGCAGAGATGTGCTCCTTCACGCTCCATGAGTGCCCACTCTGTGCCAGGCACTGGAGATGCAGTGAAACAAAGCAGACAGGATCCCTCCCTCGCAAAGCTCACTCTGGGTAGTAACCAGGGAGTTACCACCTGGGGTGTTGAGTGCTGAGATGGGGCAGTGTAGGGGTGCGGAGACAGCTGAGCTGGGCTGGAGGTTTGCTGGGGGAGGCCGTATTCAAGCTGAGACCTGCGGTGTGAGTTTATAGTCAATGGACGGCTGGGGAAAGACTGGGCAGCAAGCACAGCTGGGCAGGCCAGTGGTGACACCCACCTCCTTGTATCCCACCCAGCGAGATGTGTGCAAGGCACACTCAGGAGTCTGAGGTTGTGACCTGAGACCTCTAACTCTCACTTGGTCCTTTCCTTTCAGAGCTTATGACAATGTCCTCAAGGATGCTGTTGCAGTCAAGAGCCAGGCCTTGGCTATGGTGCCTGGCTCGCCTCCAGCCCCCACTCAGGTGCTGTTCCAGCCACCCGCCTACCCTACCCTCAGCCAGCCGCTGGCGGCCCTGGCCCCATTCCAGACCCCCACCCCCGTGCAAGACCTGTGCTTGGCCTACCGGGACTTGTTGCAGGCCCACCGCCCAGGGAGCCTGCTCTCAGGGAGCACAGGCTCGTCCCTGCATGCCCCATACCCTGCCCTTCAGCCCCTGGACGTGTGTCCCATGCCTCTCCCAGCGTCCCTCAGCATGCAAATGGCCATCACAGCTGAGCCCAGGCACTGCCTCGCTGCCACCTATGGGAGCAGCTGCTTCAGTGGGAGCCATGTGTTCCCCACGGGCTGTTTCGACAGATAGAGCACCTTGGGGCCGCACAGGAGGCCTTAGAGACCAGCAGAAGAAGAGGAGCCTGAAGAGGAGAGCTCAGCGGAGTAAGGCGATGAGAAGCCTTCTCCTCAGAGTCTCACGGACCTTGAATGTAGAGGGTTTGTGCTCTTTTTAAATACAGCTGACCCAGAGTGAAAAATTCAATGTCATACCTCACCCTAGGGCATTCCTCTGAAAAATGTCTTCCACACACACTGGGACGCAAGGAGGTGGCTTGGTGGCCGTCCCTTCAAGCAGGGAGCCAAGGTAATCAAGAAAGGCCTGGCAGGAGGCTAGGACACTGGGAACTGGACAGCAACCATGAGTCCACGAGCATATCCAGTTTTTAGCGTCAGAGACTTCTTCACTCTTTGCCAATGGCATCTACGCCACCGACCAGGAAGGGGCAGCCCGGTGTGGTCTCTGAACCTCTGGAGATGCCGCGATGGGTGCTCTTTCCCTGGCTCCCTGCAGAGGGGCCTGTGTGTGTGTGTGTGTGTGTGTGTTTATACCCGAGCATCTGCCGGTCCAGGCTCGGTGGGCGGCCACCTTGCCCTTGTTCTTGAACCTAAAACCTTGCTCAGCCTTCTAGATATTTCATGTGCTGCTGCTTCCCGAAGTGACCTAGCTTTTCGTTTAGTAAGACGTCTTGTTTACATAGTGCATCAGGGACTTGACGATACTTGAAAATTCCTTAGAAGAAAAGAATCTTTTGATTGCCACACTGCCTGCCCCACGCGAGGGTTGAAGGTTTGACCCTTGGGCTCAAACAGAGCTCCCTCTTCAAAAGTGTATGGTTGGGGAGAACTACTTTCCAGGCTCTTGGTTCCAGATGCTTCCAGGTCTTGGAACTTCTATAGCCACTCGGAGGAGGAAGGTTGTTGAAAGGTAGACAAAGGTTTAAAACAATCTCCACCTGGCCCCTCTGCCGCCTGCTTACAGTGCGTGGAGTTCAACCCATCCTCGGTTTTGAGTTTGGAAGATAACGTCGAATGTGTGCTTAAATGGCAGCTGGATTTAGGGGATGGGAATGTACATGGGTATGTGACACAGCCATTGATATGCAAGAGATCGGTTGGGTGGAAAGCCAGTATTGGGGTGCCTTAGTTTGAGGGTTCTCAGGAAGACTCTTGTAACCTTGTGCAATATGTTTTCATTCTGACGTGCGGCTTGGGCTTGGTATGTTCTTTTGGTTGGTTAGGGGTCACATTGTTCACCCCTCAGAACTAGGAGGCACAAAGGACAATGAAAGCATTTTTTTTTTTTTAAAAGAAGAACACATCTTGGTTTTTTTGCCAGTCCAGGAAACTGCGCCAGGGAGACGGCCAGGAAGGTAGCCGTGCGCTGCCCAGCTGAATCTGAAGGTGTTACGGGTCCCTTCTGCCTCCTGATGAAGATGTTCAGAGCAGATGAAAGCCTAAACGTGGAAGCAGAATGAAAAAGAGGCTGTGCGTGGAGATGGCGCTGCCACTTTGTCAGACTAGCATAGGACACTGCACGCTTGTTGTTCCTCTCTTTTTCCTTCGCCAACCTCTTTCTATTTATGTGTGACTGGTTTGGAGTCTTAGTTGTTGTATCTGTCTACTCTGGGGCTGGGGGCTGCTGAGGGGCCCCCCGAGTAGAGCCTCACGGCCAGCCCGGCCCCCAGAAAAGGCATTCCTCAATAAACACATCACCCGCTCTTTGCATCTCTCGGTTCTCTTACTGGACTTCTCTGAGCGCCACCCTCCCTCTGCCAGATCAGCCCTGTTGGGTGTCTCTGCTCATGCTGAGAGGTGGTAGAATGTGGGTGGCTGCCAGATTCCCCCCTGTTGGAGCTGGCTCCTGCCCTCTGAGTTGGTACTAGGCCTCCCTGGGGACACAGACACTGGGCAGCAAAAGTGGGTAGGAGTTGGCATCCCAGCTCCACCACTTAGAGCTGTCAGGAGGGCGTTTGACCCAACCTCTGAGCCTCCATTTTTCCACCTGTTAAATGGGGATGATAACAGCACTTGTCTCATCGGGTCCTCGTGAGAATTGAATAACATAATGCACGCGAAGGCCAGAACTTACACACACACACACACACACACAAACACAAAGATAATTACTATATTTTTTCAAACATGATGTACTGTAAGATGCACCATTATTTTATGTTCCAATAAGAAAAAAAAAGCTGCCAATTGAACCATGACATGGTACTTAAGATACGGTTGATTATAAGTCGCATTCTTATTGTAGAAAATGTTAAAACATGAACATGTGTATCTTAGAATCGATGGAGTATGTGGTTGGGTGCCATCGGATCGATTCCAACTCATAGTTAACCTCAGGTGACAGAGTAGAACTGCCCCATAACGGTATCTTGACTACGACCTTTATGAAAGCAGATCTTTTCTCCCACAGAACCAGTGGGTGAGTTTGAAATGCCAGCCTTTCGGTTAGCAGCCAAGCAGCTACCCATTGACCCACCAGGGCTCCTTTGTTGGAGTATGGCACTAGTTATTACAAGAAGTGGCAGATTCCTACTCTACTCTGAAGGGAGAAGGCCTGCCCTCTGCTCACCCAGGTTCCTACAGCACTTTCACCCACAGAGAGCTGGTGTCAGCCTGGTGCTGAGAGGTATTTGCTAAGCATGATGCCTTCAGTGAGGGTGGGGAGGAGTGGAAAGATGTGCTCAGGGCATGAGACTGAGCTCCAGACCCAGGAGGGCTGGGGGCAGAGCTCAACACCTGCTGTGGACAACCAGAACCCAAACCCATTGCCATTGAGTCGATTCCAATTCATAGCAACCCTATAGGACGGAGTATAACTGCCCTGTAGGGTTTCCAAGGAGCAGCTGGTGGAGTCGAACTGCCGACCTTTTGGTTAGCAGCCGTAGCTCTTAACCACTGTACCACCAGGGCTTCGCTGTAGGTGGAGGGTTCTAGAATTTGGGTTCAGAGACAAAGCAAGTCCTAGGTTTGCCAAGACCATCCATTTTACTTTGGACAAATCCCTCCCTCTTTGGGCCTCAGTTTCCCCATCTGTTAACATGGCAATGGTTGAGTTGATGGGTGGCTTTGACCTTTGGGGGAGGCTGAGGCCATGGGCTCCTGCTTGTCTTCAACAAGAGGGACCCACTTGTATTTCTTTCCCACTTGGGCATTCTGTGTAGATTTTGTCATTTCCCATGCTGGGACCGAGGCAGAGAATGAATAGGAGGATGGTTAGGAGAGTTTGAAAAAGCCCAGAGATAGCCTTAAAAGCCCTTCCGGGGCTGACATCTGGTACAACCCAGAAGTTCTCAGACTTTAGCAAGCTGTGGAATGATCTGGGCCTTCTCCAGGAGGGGTGAACCCCAGAGTCTGCATTTTTAACCAGCTTCCAGGTACTTCCAATGCACAACTTCTTTGAAGATCCAGTGAATAGTATAACATACAGGATCTGGTTTCCAAGCTCAAAGGAGAGCGTAAGGAAAGAGCATCCCAGTCTGAATTCCTGAACCTTCTGAGTTCTAGGCCTAGATTTGTTCTGAGCATAGTATTTCTTTGCTCTGTACAGTATTTGTTTTATAAGCTGTGGGAAGCTTTGGGACACACAGACCCATTTCCCAAGGAGAACTTGCTCCCTTCCAGGCTCAGCACTGAATGCCCAGATTAGGGTGTACATGGTCAGAGTTCCAGCTCCTCAAGCCCTCCAGATTCAAAGTCCATCTCTCCACAGCTGTTGGTTCCCTCATCTGGAATGTCCTCCCTTAATCCTTGTGTGCTGGCTGCTCACCCTTTAGGTCAGTGATTCTCAGCCTGGGTCAAGTTTGACCCCAGGGGACATTTGGCAATGTCTGGAGATACTTTTTGTTGTCACAACCTGGAGGAGGGAAGTTGCTGCTGGTGTCTAGTACATAGAAGGTTGCTGCTAAACATCCTGTAATGCACAGGACATCCCCTACAAGAAACAATTATTTAGCCCAATTTCTCTCCTACCTCTTAATTCGTTGCTTAGTGCCTAGTGTCTTAAAAGCTTGCAAGCATCCATCCAAGGCATGATAATTGGTCTCTGCCTGGAGCAACAGAGGAAGAAGGAGAGTCAGTAATAGGAGGAAATGGAATGTGCGGCTAATTGCCTCCATGAACAACTGCCTCCTTTGCCATGAGACCAGAATAACTGGATGGTGCCCTTCCACCATTACTGAACATTTTGATCAAAGATTTTATAGAGGAATCCTGATCAAAAAGGGGAAAATACAGAACAGAATTTAAAATTCCTACGGAGTCCAGACTTTCTGGAGCCAAGGGGGTTGGGTGAACCACTCAAACTATTGCCCTGAGATAGTCTTTAAAATTTAAACCAAAAATATCCCCTGAAGTCTTAAAACCAAACAGTAGTTTAGCTCAACTAGTAAAAAATGTCAGCCTTGAGCGTTACGCTCTTTTAAGAACTGTCTATATGTGACAATAGCAACTTGAAAGATTAGATAGGAACCTTAGGGGGCAGTGAGTTTATGTTAATGGGGGAGGAACAACTCAAAAAGGAGGGCGAGAATGGATGTACAGTTGGAAGAATGTAATCAGCATCACTGAATTGTTCATGTAGAAACAGTTGAATTTGCTGTACGTTTTGCTGTGTATATTCTCAATAGCAACAAGATAAAATTTAAAAAAAAAAAAAATTAGCCCAAAACATCAATAGTGCTGAGGTAGAAAAACCCAGCTTTAGGTCTCAGGTCACATGGTACCTCCCAAAGAGGCCTCTGTGACAACCCTAGTCACTCTTTTTAGGTGCTGTCGAGGCATTTCTGACTCATAGCAACCCCATGTGACAGAGTAGAACTGCCTCATAGGGTTTTCCTGGTTGTAATCCTTACAGAAGCAGATCGCCAGGTCTTTCTCCCGCGAAGCCACTGGATGGGTTTGAACCACCAACCTTTCAATTAGCAGTAGAATGTTTAACCATTTGCGCCACCAGAGCTCCTAACTCTCATTCCCAAACCCACTGCCCTCGAGTTGATTCTGAGTCATAGGGACCCTGTAGGACAGAGTAGAACTGTCCTGTAGGGTTTCCAAGTCTGTAAATCT